AACTGGAACACAACCATGCAGTGCAATATCTTTGGGTTTCCTGCTCCGCGGATCGAATGGAAACGAGCATTGCAAGCCATGTCCAAAGAACGTCATATAATAACCGGTAACCGTCTTGTGATTAAGAATACAAGAAAAGATGACAAGGGCCCTTACATGTGCAAAGGAATTAACGATCACGGCAATGTGTTTTCTATGGTGGTGTTGACTGTACATCCTGTCAGTAAGTATTGAATAATGCATGGATAAATACATTGTGGGATGAATGAGCCCCTTCTTTAGGAAGCCGATGGGTTTCAAAAAGCGCACATCTTCAGAGAGAGTAAGAGCTATGTTTAAAACACAAAAAAACAAGCGAGATTTCTAAAAACAGTGTATGTTGTTTCTCTCGTGAATGACTTATCCAAAGTACACTGAACAAGGACAAAAAAAACACTAAGTAAGATGCCTGAAAAGATCAAAGGCTTTGGTAAAGTGTTTTTAAGTGGTAGTTAAAATATRAACTTYTTCTTATAYTTCTAGTTGCTCCCGCCATCGTAAAGTCGTCTCCAAAAAACGTGACCGTGTACAAAATCTTGAGCCGTATCAAATTAAACTGTTCGGCTAATGGATCACCACTGCCAACGATCGAGTGGAGCAAAGATGGCCGACTTTTATCTATAAACACTACAGTTCACAAGACCAATAAAGAAACTATAGGCGAGTTAGTCATTGATCCCTTCATGCCAGAAGACCAAGGACAATACAAATGCTTTTTTAGAAACTACGAAAATGGAACGGCCGAAACTACAATACAAGTCTGTAAGTTTAAGATTGAAGGAACCCATCATGATGAAGCATTAATTCCACAATAGTACTATATCCATTGACCCACCAATCAATAATGCCAACGCTTAATAACGCATCCAATTCATTCACGATCATTGCCGAAGTTTAAAGTGAAAGAAGGGAAAAGAACGAAAGAATGAAAACATACCCTAGGGCTCCATTCCAATGTTACGTAAATCCATCATTGAGTAGGTAACTTAACAACCCCAACTCTATCACGTAACACAAAGACCACAATGAACACAAAACATATCATAAAATTCCTGTATTTCTTCAACTCTTATAGCCCTACTTGTGATCCTGGTTATTACTTGGTGGGACCATCCAACCGACTGTGCCTGGAAAATGGTGCATGGAGCAACACCATTCCATCATGTCGGTTATTTTCCTTTTCTTCTTTCTAACTTGCACTAAAATTACATGGACATATAGGAGATATAGCAGAAGTGCAGTTTTTTCGCATTTTCTCGATATGAGATTTCTGTAGGTACTACGATTTTCGCATCATATAGCTGTTCCTATAAAGCTGTGTTCCAATCAGGTCACTAAATCTCAAAAAGTAAAATTTGAGAGACGTCCGCTACTAAATGTAAGCAGTATGAATTATTTGTGCCGTAATTTGCAGCTCAAACGAGGTGATGAAAATTCCGAGCGCAATAGGAACGGACCTGTAGTATAAAAGCTAACAAAGCTGTAAAAAACATTATTTAGGAAGCGTGTTCAAACTCCTGTCATAACCAATATCTTAACAGTCAAGTAGATTAAAAAAATATCCAAGCAGGAGGCATTATCTCAGCAATACATCCCTCTTTTTGGTGCAGGATGTGTTAACCATTTCTTACATCTTTTTGCCAAAAATATAACATAAACCTTCCCTACCTCCGAGGTCACCATGCAGAATCGATTACCATCATTTTTGGGCCACGTTATCCTTTTCATCTCATGTACTACTACTATTGCAGAATCTATTGGCATTGAACGTTATGTTACAATTTCAGCGTAAATCCTCCCTTCTATCAATACATTGATCAATAAGTGATTGCATTGTTTTGTCTGACAGGTCGTTCTCTTTGTCCCGAGATTGTTCCTCCTGAAAATGGATACATGGTAGGTGATTTCCTGGCCAACAGCACACTTACTTTCCACTGTAATCCTGCCTACAGTCTGAGGGGAAATCGCAACTTGCTATGTGATGCCAACACAGGCAACTGGAAAGATTTGCATGGAAATTTTAACATTGTAAAACCACAATGTAAGTCAAGGTCACTAATCACAGATATGATAACTGGCCTTAATTCTTATTTTATGATATCATAGTCATTGTGATAAAATGATCATTCACATACACCGTTATAAAATAGTTTGAAAACGTTCTTTTCGGAGGTTAGTTATTTGTAAACAAAATGTCGACATAAACGTCTTTGAGGTCATTAATGACACTGTAGTTATGTACCAGGCCAGTAGGCTGGGGGGTTCGCGCACTGTATAAACTACTGTAAACTGTATAACTACTCAAAAACATTTAATAACGCTAATCATTATTTCATTACAAAAACCTACCCCGTTTTGGACTAGTAAGACCAGAAAATTCTCCGCTGAAAGTGCTTTTGAATAATATATCAATTTCGGTTTTAATAAATTAATTTGACAATTTTTAGGTCAAATGAGCTATTACTCAAATATTCTCAAAAATCGAAAACATTACTATGATTTAATAAAAGAATGGCTGGCTCCAGTGACAAACAAACCAATACCATGGGTTCCCTGCTACCAAAGCAGATATCACGGATGGTACAATAGCATCTTCCATTCAAGGTGCGATGGTCAAGGCCCGACAATTACAATCATCAAAGTGAACAGATACATATTTGGAGGCTATACAGACGTCAGCTGGCGTACGTATTCCAGTTGTTGATCTTTGCTATATTCGGGGGTTAACACAGAACATCCATCACATTGGTACAGCTTTTTATGCTCACAATAACGAATTATAATTGTTTTCCTTTTTTTTAAGATTACACAAATTCTTACAGGACATCCGTCAACTCGTTCCTGTTTTCATTTGTAAACAGAGATAACTTGAAGCCATTTAAAATGAAAGTTTTCAAATCGCAATATGCTATTTATGGAAGTAGCAGCTATGGACCAATCTTTGGAGGCGGCCATGACATACATCTTCTTTATAATGGTGGTAGCAGCAGAGGCTCCCATACGAACCTTGGACATAGCTATACACTGATTAAGGGCTACACATATGGATCGACTAAAGCTAACAACCTTCTTGCAGGATCGAACACCTTTCAGGTAGACGAAGTCGAAGTGTTTCGGCAAGAAGGTTTTCGAGATTTTTAGATGAAAGAAACTCTAACAAACCAAAGTTTTAAATTATAAAGAAATATAGTATATAAAATATGGAATAAGAAACTCTAACAAACCAAAGTTTCAAATCATATAGGAATTTAGTATATTAATAGTATATGGGCTACATATCAAACAATTGTCTAACATTCACGCGGGCTACCTGTGTCTTTTGTGGGATTAATGAACATTACCTCGAAATGATATGACATCGAAATTTGTCCATTTTTTTAATTTTTCATTCTGCTGTGTTCTAACGAATCCAAGTATTTGAATAGACTCAAGAGAAAATGGCAGTCTCAAGAACCAAGTTTTGGATAGGTACGTCCAGCCAGTGGTCTAAAACCCTAGAAGGCAGAAGTACATAACCAGAAGTGTGTATCTCCACAATAATATCGCCACCATTAGATGTCCCGACAATCTATTTTTAGACAACCAATCACAACGCGCGCACATATTACACGGCACCTGATCGGTCCTTGTTGATCTACTTCAAGAGCGAACAAGAAAAATGAAAATATAGTCCATGGAGGCGAACGAAGTGAAGTTTGCATTACGAGAATTTTACACCTTTTGCTGAACAACCATTTCTGAAATTGATATAAAACATACTTTACTATATGAGCAATGTAGCGGAAGTATTTCAAGACCAATATGGTCTGTGAAAACAGGGGAAAAGTTCAGACAATGAWGAAAGATGCAGACAAAAGGCGTGCGAACAAAAGTAAGTTTTATTATGCAATTCATTCAAATAAAGTTGGACTTAGTCTAAAACAAAGTCAAAGGTTAAGTAGTTTTCGACTGTTAACCTTAGAGATTTGACCCTATAAATGTTCAGGTAGCTAGGAGGGTTTGTCAGTAATAGATATTTAATTTCTCTGACGACTTTTCTTGTTTGTGGCTTTTTATAACTAATTCATCTTGTCACCGAAAATTCGAAATTATTTCGTTCTTACCTTTTGTGTACCTATTTTGCTTGTTTGTTTATTCTTTGCTTTTCTTTCAAAGACTGAACAATTATTCCAAACTCAAAGTTGAGTTCATAATATTCAATTTTAGTCAAACATGATTTTGCTAAAAGAGTTTTGATTGACTTTTTGAGACATTTTTCGCACTCTTTTTATTGGGAATCTTTTGACTTATTTTTCCCCTTTACAAAGCTATTTTTAAAAATCCTAAATTACCTTTACTACAATTCTATGTATAGATAAGGGTTTTTTTCATTCTATTGGAACAGATTTCTACTCAAAACGAGTTCAATTCTCGCCATAAAAATCACATTTTTGCATTTTTTGCATACATTTTTTCACACGTCTTTTGTCTACAACTTTCTTCATCTTTGTCTGAACTTTACCTTTGCCTTCGCAGACATATTGCTCTTGAAATAGTTTCGCTACATTGCTCATATAGTAAAGCATGTTTTCTATCAAATTACTTAGCCTTTGGCTTTGTTTTTCAACTTTATTTGACTGTAAGAAAGCTACTTTAAACTACTTTTCCTTGCACGCTGTTTTACATCTTTCTTCATCTTTGTCTGAACTTTTCCCCTGTTTTCGCAGATCATATTGCTCTTGAACTACCTTCGCTACATTGCTCATATAGTAAAGAATGTTTTCTAATAAATTCGGAAATGGTTGTTCCGCAAAAAATGTAAAATTCTCATAATGCAAGCTTCACTTCATTCGCCTCCATCGACAACATTTTCCTTTTTCTTGTCCGCTCTTGAAGTAGATCAACAAGGACCAATCAGGTGCCGTGTAATATGTGCGCGCGTTGYGATTGGTTGTCTAAAAATAGATTATCGGGACATCTGATGGTGTCGATATTATTGGGGATATGGACACTTCTGGTTATGTACTTCTGGTCAGCAATATATGCGGAAAGCTTAGTGTTTATTAGA